TAGCAACATTGACTTAGATCAGGGTGTGGAGCGAGACATATTCTCTATTATGTGTGAAGCCCTGAACTATTTCATGATTAGGCAATCTTCTTACGCGGTGAGCTCACTTTTAATCATTCACCCCGTGAGGACTGATGTGCTTCAAGACATTTTAATTGGGAACTTCGTGATCAGCCTACGATGAGATACACAATGAGCCTGACATAAACTCGGAACATAAAGACGAATGAGAATTGAGATTGTTGCTCGTGAGGATCGACACTCGGTGGAAACGGGCTGCATGATACATCTGCTCAGTGTCGAATAAGAGTTAATTATGCATCTCGTCTCCTGCATATGGGCACATAAACTGGCCTCAACTTCTTGGTAAGGGACAACATCTCAAGATTCACTCGTGAGTTGACATTGGGTCAATTCCGGTTAGGTTGTCCTCGGAGATATTCAACGGTGACAAAAGACACCAGTACATTCAAGTTCTAGCTCGACATGCTACTCAGTGCGTGGACTGTATCTTGATTTCTTAGGTCTCACAAGCTCTGGTGATCATCACAGCAAAGTAAGAACAGTTCTTGAGGCTCGGAAAGTGACGTGAGCAACAGCAAGTAAGAAAGCTTGAATTACTACAGAGCTAAAAAGCGGAGTCAAAGGCTGATTTAAGCGGAGTCGATCTTGATCCGCGAGTCCCTTGGATCGTGTTACCAACGGGTCTATCCTAGTCCTGGTAAGCAAGGTCACGAGGGGAGTTGGGTCGGTTGAGCCACGACACACGATGACGCTGGACCTTGTCAGTGGAAGAATTTCAACAAAGAAATCCTCCACTACCGAGAGCATCATCATTGGGCCTGTTGAGCGGGGTTTCCATCAATTACATGCCCAGCCATGGATGTAGTTGACGGGCTGTTATGACATAGAGTCATCTGGGTAAGTAGGCATGCTCCTTCCGTATACTACAAATATTGCAGCTATCATATCATGAAAGAACTCACTGTAACCTTGATCCTGTTTTATTTGTTCATCCCTATCCTGCTCTGATTCACCTGATGTGATCCATGGATGTTCTGATATATCAGTCTTCGGTTGGTCGGGGATACATCGGTGGGGCCGATGAAGCTTCATCCGCGTTAGCATATCGATTCCGAGTGTGGAGCGGCCAATCCGCTTTCACTGTAACTGCGTCTAACCTTGACCCAAGCCCTGGAAGTACAGGGACAATACACACCACCAGCCATCCTTTTCGATTCTTTTGAGTTTGTCCGTATGTTGAATATGAAGTCAGGTATCGTGATGGGTGACTGTGCTCGGCAGTTTCGATCATCCTATCGAGATGACCTCGAGATAGACCTTGAGATCTGTAAGAACGATAGATAAGCTGAACAGACCAGCATCTGATTCCTCTCGGTTAGTTATTTATCCACCAAACTGGGTTTCGTTCTTATACTTTGAGACTCCAGCTTTGGTGTGAGTGCGGGCTATTCAGTGACATCACGTCAGAGGCGCTTCTTATGCGCATCCGGTTGATGCATGCAACAGGTCCAAGTCTCTCCTCTCTGCAATTCCCAGCCCCCATTGACACTCTGCATCACGAGCTTGCCGGCTTCAAAGTCTCCTACATACGGAAAATAAGCAGCACTTCATCGACGATTGCCGTGAGTTGGCCTGGGCCCAATCCAATGGTCTGACGCTGACCTATCCGTATTTGAACGGCTAATAAAGCTCACGGACATTCAGGAGCATTTCTGACCTATCGAATTACTCAATGGATGTCTACCTAGGTACGGAGTACCTTGCCTCTAATAAACAGGGGTCTTCTATACTTGCTTCTTTCGATAATATGCCGGACAGAATAACATCTGATTTCCTTTTCTTTTTTTTCAGGGTCCAATTATTGTCCGGTCTTGGTGAAGGAGATGATAGAAAGCTAAGTTTTGATGGAGGGCAGGCCGTGACCAGCTACCACAAATTCTGCACAGTACTACAAAGTCTAGGCCCGACCTATTTTCCCCTCTCATCAACCTTATGACGGAGGCGAATCCTCGCGATACTCCATACTGTATGTGATGAAGGTAGGTAGGATTAGCCCACCGTGACAGAAGAGTCAAGGTAACCCAAAAACAGTGATTGGATGATTTGCATGTTCCTGCCAATCCGCCCAGTGCCCTAACGCCCCCATTACCCCAGCCTAAACGCAAGCCTACGCAAACCTAAGCCAAAAGCCAAAGCACAAGGCCTGGCCAGGCAATAAAAACTTCCGACGTTATACGAAGATGCCAAAATTAACTAGTCTAAAGGTACAAAAAGATGCACTAAATCTACCCAAGTATTTTAGCCACCTAAGACAGAGGTCCTAAGTTTTCTTGCCTCCATCCCCTAGCTGCCCTAGTAGTTTCTGAGTCTTTCTTTTTACTGGCCTCCGCATTCATTCTGGAATTGGAAGTACCCGCTTTTTTCTAGTATTGCCTTAGGCTCCATCACCCCCAGCTTTCGCATCCATAGCACCACCATCACCACCACGTTACTGTATCACCATTCAACATCACTTGGCCGACACCATCTTTTTAATCAAGCCCCCCCTCTTCTGCCACAAGGGAAAAGCATATCAACACTCCGATTCCCTCGTCAAATTACGTCCCTTTGTCCCTCGTCTCTAGCCTAGCCTGCAGAGCAGAGCATCGTGGCCATCTTATGCTCGACGGGCCAAGTTTTCTAGCGTCGACTCCTCTACCCTACCGGGCTGCCGAGGCGACAAAAACTAAATCGCCCAGCTACCGACCCGAGCTAGTAGCTCTCCCCAGATCAACGTCGGGTCCCCGCTGCTTTCTGAGACCTCCATCAACACAGCTAGGTACCTCACTTAGCCTACCTTACCTTACTTCCAACACATAGAGTCTGAGGCGCTCCTCAAATCGACTCACCGAGCAGCGTGCTTTGGTCCAGCTTTCCTTTCTTAGGTACTCGCCTTTTTCATTTGTTCAGGTAGGTCACGGCGCTTCCTTTTACCGTGTGGCGCTTGCGCTCCTCAAAGTACAGCAGAGCTCCCGTCGTGGTGCTCGAGCCACCAGAATTCCCAAGCTTTCCGAAAGCAAGCTCTGGGCTAGGCTGGTCTTCTGGCTCATCACCTCACCAAATGTATCGGTACCTTGCTCTAGGGCTTTCGCTAACGCATCGTTCTCCAGGTTTGGCTGGCAAATGAACTAGGGACAGAGTCTCCTACCTCGCCTACCCCTCTCTCAAGCCAGTCCAGTCTACCGCGCCTGGCCTGAGTCCCCTGATCAGAAGATCACATCACACTTCTCAGTGTTCCATTCGGATCTCTGCGTTCTTGTCCAGGTCCCTCTCGTTCTGAGGCTCTCTCCACTTCGGGACTCTCCACAGCTCTCTGCTCGCTCCGCCCTCTCTACTCTACTCCTCGGGCCTGTCTGTCCTGGTCCCTTTTCCCACCTGTCTCTTCACCATAAAGCATTTTGTCGACTCGAGATCAATCTCCCACTCTCAAGTCAAACAATTCGCGACGGTGCGCTTACATCTAGGACCCCCTCCCCTGCTGCGCCGCCCACCAGCTTTCCCCATCGAAAGCTCCCGCGCCACCCTAGCACCCGCAGAGGAACGGCAGTATTAGTTGGAGGTTCATACCGCCCGCGACTCTCCCCAGCACCACTTAGAACCTGGTCTCTTGTGGTAACCGCATCTCGACACAACCTGAACACTCGGCGCATTGCATCGCAAAACCCAACAGGAGTATCAGCCACGACAAGCAGCAAACGGTTCGCGACACAACACGGCACATTGCAACGCTCCTCCGCGACACGCGACATACTTCCTCCTGCCAAGCTTTCCCTCTGCTTGCCTTTCTTTGTCAATATCATCACTTTCTGCAGCGCGCCGCTGTCCTCCCCCGCCTTCCGACTGCATTTCGCGAACTCTCTCCATCTCCTCATTCGACTTGCACACCGTGTGCCCGACGACGTTATTCGCGATCAACCACTTTTCGCCTGCCTGTTCACCACATCGTCGTTGACGCTCTCGTGGTCTTTGCAGATTGATAGTCGAATTTTCGGAGACTGGTCTTCTGATCACTGACTATTTGCCACCACCGCTCGTCTCTCTCGCCTTGTTGCCGCTCCAAGTGTAGCAGCAACCCCGCGTCAATCTCTAGGTGTCGGATTTCGCGCCTGCTTTCGAGCCTTTCACTGACAATGGGCCACGATTGAGTCTTCGTCGCCACAGCACTGGACTTCTGCATCTGCCCAATTCAGTCCTCTCAACAAGGTCCTTTCATGACAGGTTCCCCATTCTCCTTTACTCTTATCCGACAACCTGAATCTTCTATTTGCGCCTTGGGTTAGACGCGCTGGTGTTTAGATATTCTGTCGTATTCACTCAACACTAATCAACCGCTGGTCACGCCGTAACGAATTCTGCTATCGCGATTTAACATTTGCGATAGAATCAGAGTTGCCACTTCTCAGAGCCACATCTCTTCGACACTGATTACAGCATCAGCGTTCTTTTTCTTACGTTTCGTCTGTTTTTACGACTTAGAATTTGGCACGTGTGACGACATAGTCTTTAGATATCCTTGAGATCCCATCTCTGGTAAGTCCGTCTGCAGCAAATCCGAATGCTTTGATAAGCATTCTGCTTCATTTATCGAGTCTTCGCTTATAGAGTTGTTTGCCCTGACTCTTTTTACATTCCCCAGTAGGGTTCAGGTGTCGTGGGGCCAATGAGTTTCTGTTCTCAAATAATATCATTCATTGTTCATCACGAGACCAGTCAGCTAACTAGCCATTTACAGTTTCGATTCTATTCATTCTTAAAGATCTTTACAGTCTACTTTTTATTCTAACCCCCAACTCTGTTTATTATCCGAAACACGACAGCTTGTACTAGCCGGTTCACGTATCACAGATATAAGACTAAAACCCCCCATCAACAGGACATTATCAATCAGCAGTCTTGTAGATCTTAGATTGACAGAAGCCAAGCAGTGTCTTTCCTGGATGATGAGTTCTGGTCCGCTCAGAACAGGCCCGTCTTCCAGACTAGGCCAGGGATCCCATCCTACAGCCCCGGGTAACAACCAGTCACTGCTCCTCGATAAGCTGCACGCGAGGACATCTACACCAGATTCAGAAGCTCTCGCTAGTTCAGACGACGAAGGCGAGCACCGATACGAGTCCGCAACAGCAGCATCACATTCTGCGTCGCAACCTCCTAGACCTGTCCGACGACCTTCGTGGTTGAACGAGACTTCTCAAACCCTGGGCCGTCCTCGTAGGGGATCTATCGCTAGTAACTCGATGTCTCCAACTACTTCTCATCCCAGCACGCCCTCTGGGGAGGCTGGTGGAGCGTGGGGATCTCACTCAGCTTCATCTGTAATGGGCCGGGGATCTGGCGCACCTGGCTTTTCATGGGGTACGGCCATCTGGAACAATGAACGCAAAGATCCTCCATCGAGGCTTAGCGAGGTTTTGCCTTCTCCCACATCGACCATGCCACCGGGCGGTGGTAACTCTTTCTTTGGCTCAGACATGCAGACGTCTCCGGTCTCGCGCGATCCTGCGCCTAATTCGCAAATCCCTTTCGCTATTCCGCTTCATCCGACTCCAAAGACATACCGGTCTCAATCATACTCTGTTGGACAGCTAGATCCTGAGTCAACAGCCACTCCGCCTTCGATGAGCTCTTCCGCCATCATGGGCCGCGCTCGCTATCCCGCGCTCCAGCATCGACCTTCTCGACCCAGCATGCTAAGCGAAATGGCCAACGACGGCTCCATGCTTGGAAAGGTCAAGGAAGTTGAGGATGACGACGATGAAAGCCCAAGCGAATCGATGCAAAGTTCATTCCATCAATCGGATGCGAAAACAATTGAAATGCTGGCTCGTGAAAATGCTATGCTGCGCCAACAACAACAACAGCAGCATCAACAACAGCAACAGCAACAGCAAACGCAGTATAACAATGCCCGAATTCGACCCCGCGCAGTCACCGGCTCCTCCTATCCTGCAAACGGTTACCCAATACGAGACACAGTTCCTGAAGAATCTGATTATGCTATTGATGAGCTTGATGAAGCCAACGAATCTGGCGATATGCTGGCCAAACGGGCGCTGAGCAGGCGCATGAGCGAGTACGGAGCTGGGTCATTACGCTCTCCGTTTGAGAACAATCGCAAGCCCGAAAACGCCAACCTCAAGAAAGCGCTTTGGTCAAGCTCCCTTGGATTTAATCCTTCTGATATTTCTCAAAGTCGGCGACACTCCTTTGCAAACATGCCTACTCGCCAAGGTTCTATCAGCTCCATTCCTGACGCGGCCGCACTGGAGCCTTCTGCACTCGATATGCAGCAGTCTCAGGAGTACCCCCCCGGGTACCCCGACCCTGCCGCCTTTAGTGCTTCTTCTCATGGTAAGTTGCCTTCAAAATCCACGTTCTTTGTTTGACCATTTGCTAACGCACGCAAACAGCGAGCCAATACTTTGGCGTTGGCGGAGGTGCCAACATCGGAAATGCCTATCAGACTGGATATGCCAATCAATACGGATCTCCTTACGGATTGCCCACTGCGTATGGGAACCGCGCACCATCTCCCCATCGTAATGTTTACAGCATTGCTCAGCCTCGCCACAACCAGCTTCTTCACATTGTGTTGTTCAAGTGCGCTCGAGCGGACGTGTTCTACATTCAAGAGGGCACTGGTCTCAATGTCAAGCCAGGCGATCTGGTGATAGTCGAGGCTGATCGCGGCACTGACCTTGGAACCGTTGCTAAGGATAACGTTGAATGGCAGGCTGCTAAAGAACTCAAGGAGCACTATGCTGAAGAGCAGTATAAGTGGCTGATGATGTACTCACAAAATGCTGCCGTCGCGCAGGAGGGTTCAAGCGCAGGTCTTCTTGCCTCCTCTACCGGTCTTCAAGGAAGCGCGGTTGGGGGCATGGGACCTCCGAGCCAGCACCATGTGCAGGAACCCAACGCTGGCGAACTTCGACCCAAGCTCATCAAGCGTCTTGCCCAGAACCATGAGATCCAAGCCCTGCGGGACAAGGAAGGTCAAGAGGCGAAGGCGAAGCGTGTTTGTATGCAAAAGGTCAAGGAGCATGCTCTCAATATGGAGATTCTCGACGCCGAGTTTCAGATGTGAGTGTATTTACCACTTATCCACCGGATAGGATTACTAACCTCTCTGCTAGGGATTGGAAGAAGTTGACCTTCTATTACTTTGCCGACTCGTACATCAACTTCAACTCTCTCGTCACCGACTTGTTCAAGATCTACAAGACTCGAATCTGGATGTCTGCTATCAACCCAGCCTCATTCGCTAGCCCAACTCTTGGCATTCAGGCTCCTAGTGGCATCGGTCCTGGAGCAGTGAACGCAAACCGTGGTGCGGGCGATAATGACAGACGCCAGAACCAGCAGGTCCAAGAGCCTCACCAAACTTCTGCTTTTCCAGGCGGAGCAAGAGATGGCCGCGGATTCCGCCCTCCTCCAACTTTCAACCAACCGTTTGGCAATGAGGGCCGCCTCGCGCAGCCTTCTGGATACCCTCCTTCTAACTACCCTTACGGGCAGTTCGCCAACCCTTATAGCAATCCTCGCAGCGAGGTTGGCTACGGTGCTGGTTCTGGTGCTATGCCGGGTGTTATGCCGGGCGCTATGGAGGGCTATCCCGTTGGAGTTCCCCAGCTTGGAGAATACACTTCGATGCGCCAGCGGTTCCCCAACCCACAGTCAGGTCCCAGCCCGGCACCTCATTCTCAAGCCACTTCACCACTGGCTCCCCAGAATGACTGGGTTGGATCTTTCCAGGGCTTGTCCCTCAACACTCATTAATGTGTGTTATCACATACGTTTGGCGACCATGAGAAGTTTATCTCAGTACACTCGTTTACATTCAAGCAGGCACAGCAGACTTCGTTTCATGAGAGAGAAACGGCTGGCATTTGTTGATTGAGTTGACGACGGACTGACATATACAGAACCAGCCCTCACTGGGCTTGCGGTGCGGTTATGTGATTGTGTGATTTCATTTTTCGTTTTCCATTCCTTTATAATGATTCGTCGTTTCGTTTACATCTTCTTTGGCGTTAATCGGCAACTCTCCTTCATACTTGAGTATTAAGAGATTGTTCCATAGCGGCTTTTCGAATTCCATATCGCCAACGCTTTGTTCGGGGTCCATGATCCAACGGCCGATTTCACGATAACGGGGAGTAGGGAGGGAAGACAAGATAACATTCGACGGCATGGATTTTTCTTTTACAGGCTGAGATTATAGACAGAAAGACCCAAGGACTTCGCATCTAACACTGTAACTAATACGCAGTCAAAAAGGGGGCACATTCGGGAGATATATCCGGAATCATGTATGACAAAGACTTGATTTACTCATTTGCTTATTCATGCAGGCAAATGAGTTTGTTTAAGGGGTTGTTTGGCTCAATGCACGAAAATGAGATTATGTGATAGATTAAATTCGAGCTCAGGGTTTGCTTATACGTTATCTCTACGTGAACTGAAGTGAAGCTAGAGATTGATTGAATAATATTAGGAGAACAACTTTGACTGGTGGTTCCATGAGGCAGATCCGGATTCTTGCCATATTGAGAAGCACCCAAAGCGCCTTCCTACTCTTGCAAAAATGATTGCACCTTCCTCTCCACGCATAAGCTATTCAGGTACCTACCTTACCTTACCTACCCACTAGGTAACTCCTTACTCCATAGCCGGAGAAGACGACTCTGAATATGCCAAAACTTTTTAACATTCATTCCACAGACCTTGCCACCTCTTAAAAGAAGCACTCCACCAAATCATGCCCCTGGGAGCACGGAAGAGAAGAGCATCCGCTACGGGTGAGTTGCGATACAGTCACTAGTTCGCCTACATAAGCTAAAAGTACATGAGAGAGCAACGGTACCGAAGATGCACCCCCCAGGAAGACTCCCAGGGCTTCCAGGAAATCGGGTGCGAGGGGAACGAACCAACGCAGAGGCAAGAATTTCATGCGCGCAACGAACGCTTCTTCCAATAAGAGGCGAAAGGTTTTCTCTGTTGAAGCCAAGAGCCGGATCAAGAAACACGGTGCCGACTTTGCGAAGTTCATCGATAAGGAAACTCACACAACACGGATGTATGTAGCTTCCGGCACTTCGTTCGATCTAATTTTCTAATACCAACAGTCCTCAGATTGGCGTCGATATATTGAAGAAAGACATCTCTCCAGATCTTGCAGGCGTTTTGCCCTGGATGAGTTCTTCGTCGACTCTCCAGAGACAGAGCACCCAAACTTACCCGAAGATGATTCTCAAAGCACTCGACAATTTACAGAGTGATATGAGGACTTACGAAGGCCTAGTCAAGCAAGACTACAAGATCCGAGCACCTAACTGGATGCGCTGGCAGCAAGATATCAAAGACTTGGAGGATGTGAGCAAGCACGGTCTTGCGATGGCTTCAAAGATGATCAATCATTTTATTATGCCTGATTCACACGACCCTCCTCCCAAGCCTTCTGAAGGCGCCGCCGGAGTTGAGCATGTAGCATGGGATCTGATTGAGGAGGCTCTACCAAAGATGTCTGACGGTATATGGGGAAAGATTGCGCAGGGTCATCTGAAGGCGTTTACTGGGGTTTTGAAAGTGCTGTCAACTGAAGTTGAAGGATGATTTAAGGGCATTGATAATCAATCGCGATGGCTGGGAAGAGACGATATGAATACTTTAGTTGTCTCTGGGAGTGCAGCACCAAAGATATGAAACGAATTGAGGAGTATTACAGATAAACAGTTTTACAAAGACATCGCTGTCTTTCATTAAGTCCTAGGTCCTACAGTGCCAATTTCGATGACCCTATCCCTGTCATAGCCATATTCCAGAAGTATATTGCACGTGATCATGCACGGACCATGTCGAGGGCTGCGAATGGAAAGTGCGAGGGCTAGCTCATCGCTTAACCCACAGGCCACAATTTTCCCACGGAAAGTTGGATATCGGTGGTTCCTTCTCTTTTCTGAAAATCTTCGACCTCCTACTAACCACCAGGACCTCGACTAAGCCGGTATGTGAAAATCCCCCTCCTTGATAATTTCCTTCTTCTTCTCTTGCAAGCCTTTGTCTTTCTTTCTTCTTCTCTCGCTAACCTCTATCGTCTTTCCGATAAACAGCCAAGATGGGTGCCCTCAAGTACGTCGAAGAGCTTCAGAAGAAGAAGCAGTCGGATGTCGTTGCCTTCCTCCTCCGAGTTCGCTGCTGGGAAGTACGTTAAACCACCAAAAATATGCACAAGCACAAACATCAATTCCCCATGTGGACGGCGGATTCAACCTGTTCTCGCTCTCTTGTTCTCTCGACTCGAATTGTCAGAAGCGGTCGAAATTTTCGTGCGAGTTTTGGATACTCCGCACTGGGAAGAAAATTCTCAACGACGAAATCGACACACATGATGTGTACCCCTGGACACCGATGAGAGAGAACTCGAGACGAATCAGGCTGCTTATTAACCGCCGTCTGTGCTATACACTCGTTGAACATTTGCTGAGAGTGCATCAATATAGCTCCGTCAATTGAACGTCATCCACCGCGCCTCTCGCCCCTCGCGTCTGGACAAGGCTCGCCGTCTCGGATACAAGGCCAAGCAGGGCTATGTTATCTACCGTGTCCGTGTCCGCCGTGGTGGCCGCAAGCGCCCTGCTCCTAAGGGTGCCACCTATGGTACGTTTTTGCTATCTTGAGAATAGAGAGACGTCAGTATCTAACACAGACCCAACAGGCAAGCCCACCAACCAGGGTATCAACCAGCTGAAGTACCAGCGATCCCTCAAGGCTACCGCTGAGGAGCGTGTCGGCCGCCGATGTGCTAACCTCCGAGTCCTCAACTCCTACTGGATCAACCAGGACTCTACCTACAAGTACTACGAGGTCATCCTCGTCGACCCTCAGCACAAGGCCATCCGCATCGACCCCCGCATCAACTGGATCGTCAACCCCGTCCACAAGCACCGCGAGTCTCGTGGCCTCACCGCCACCGGCAAGAAGTCCCGTGGTCTCAACAAGGGCCACCGCTACAACAAGACCCAGGCTGGCCGCAGAAAGACCTGGAAGCGCCACAACACCTTGTCCCTGTGGCGATACCGATAAACAGCTCGCCCCCTGCTTTGGGAGGAGCTGGCTTTGTTATTCGCAACGCGGCTGTTCGGTTGTACATGCGATTTGGGAGGGTCTGGTTTTGGCACTGCATGCTTGGACTCTGGGGAGTCGGGGACCTTATTTGGTAGCACAAAAAATGGAATCAAAAGCAATTCCAATTTCATGATCAAGACTAAGAATATGGTTTCCCGAATTTTGCCTACGAATTTGTGATTGGTGCTGTGCCGTGATTCATGAGCTGTCCTCAAGCCAATGTCTATGTAACATTGACATTTGCAGGGCTGTTTTGCCATCAAAAAAGCTAAACATTTGGCTGCCCTTGCTTGATATAGAGAAAATCCTGTTCGCTTGTGGGGTTTCTGGACGCTTGGCAAACTTTTGATTCTCGAGCCCAGTGTATTGCTGCTGAATTAGACCTAGACCAGTAAATTTGCGATGTTTTCAGTGGGTTCCTTTCACTATAATGTGGCGTTGATACTGTGGCTTATCCAGCCAATCAAATTAAGCGCGTCATGTATGTAACCGCGTCTATCTCATTCACTTAACGCGTGAAGTGCAACCTCAACTATCATGATAGAAATCAACTGAACCAGAGCAAAACAAAGAGCAAAATTGTTTGTAAGGGCAATGACTTGTTACTGTCATAAAGTTTGACTTTGAATCCACAAGAAAGAGATATACTCTTTTGCTGCCAACACCAAGCCAACCACCTTCATTCACGTCTTCACACTCACTTACACCCTCACTTTCACTTCACTCTCACTCACTCACCATCATCCATGTCTCTTCAGCCGTCCTCATGACCGACCTCCTCCAAATCCTTCCCTCTTTTCCTCTCCGCCCTTTTGCAGCTCTGATACCAACAATTGAGCAACAGGCTCTCACAACAACAGATCTCCTCACCCTTCATCCCGCAGACATCGCAAAGCAGACACGCCTCCCTATCCTCGATCTCAAGCGTCTCATAGCTGCTATACAAGCGTCTCTCTCTGACGATCTCAGCCCACAGCAGCCTCTACTTCAACCGGCTGAAGAGCCCAAAGTCATCAGTACTCTTGATGACGGTCTGGATGCTGCATTAGGAGGTGGCGTGCCTGTTGGTGTGATAACGGAAATCACTGGTGAGAGCGGTGCTGGAAAGACACAAGCTCTTCTATCACTATGTCTTGCTGTCCAACTTCCTCCGCCTCGTGGTCTGGGCCGTGAAGCTCTCTACATCTCAACTGAGGCTGCTCTCGCCACAAGCCGTCTTGCCCAGGTGCTCAACTCAAACCCCATTCTACAACAATACGATGACCCTGAAACTCGCCCTTCACTCGATGCTATTCGCAGCGCTGTTACTCCAGATCTAGAGACGCAAGATCACATCCTTGACTTTCAAGTCCCCGTTCTTCTCTCCCGTCACAACATTGGCCTCATCATCCTCGACTCAGTGGCCGCCAACTATCGTGCTGAATTCGAGCGTCAGGGTTCTCACGGCTCTAACATGGCCGCTCGAAGTGCTGAACTCGTTCGTCTCGGTGCTCTTCTCCGCGATCTAGCTCGACGGCATAATCTCGCTGTTGTTGTAGCCAACCAGGTCGCTGATCGATTCGCATCCAGCTCTACACCACGACATGCACCTCCTAGAAGTAGTGGCGTCGCTTATGAGAGTCCCCTCGCTTCAAGGAGTATGCCTCCTCCTTCATCTACAAACCTCCCTGGCACGCCCTCATCATCATTACCCTTTGCCTTACAAGATCTCGATGGTCCTCCGCCTCTACCCGCCCTAATGCTTGATCATCAACAGCGCTGGTTCACAGGCTGGGGTGATGATCCCCACGCTTCTTATTCACTCAAGACCCCAAGTTTAGGCCTCGTGTGGTCAACGCAGATTGCTTGTCGTATTGCACTCTTCAAGCGTCCTGTCTATGGCCGTATAAGACAGGCTGCGCCAGTAACAGCAGAGGACGACTCCGACTTGGCAGCACCCACACTCAGAGGATGGCGAAGATGGATGAAAGTTGTATTTGCGCCTCATGCGCCTCCAACAGGTCAAGGCTTAGACGGGGCGGTCGAGTTCGAAGTTACTATGGGAGGATTAAAATCAATTAAGATCCAAAAGACCAAGAAACAATAACGAGCGTAGAAGCAAGAGCCTATATAAAGTTGTGTATCGGCCACTGGCGAAGGTTGTATCAAAGTCACGACAGGTTAAAACCCACTGTAGATATATACGCATAGATAGATCCTTGAAGCAACCAAAATAATACCTCTAGACTAACTAACCGCCTCATAAATGACTATGCTATATGTAAGGTATACAAGTTCCAAAACTCCATTCTATGCATATCCATCATGTAACCCTAATTATCTGGGATGGGGAAACTCGTCGTCCATCTGGAGTCGCACTCCAACATTCATGCTGATGAGCTCCTGTACAAGCAGCTTCGCTGCATACGGCATCGTTATCTTGGTAACCTCCCTCGTACTCTTGCATGTATGACAGTAGCCCTTGTATCCGAACAGACCACACTGCTGGCAAATATCAATTTCAGTACCATCCGAGCTGATCATGAGTCGCTCCAGCAAGAGCTGGGAAGCACCGTAGGCGATCAAACAATCACGTTCCATTTCTCCCAGACGTAGACCACCATCCCGTGAACGACCTTCTGTAGGCTGACGCGTGAGGATGGCTCGGGGACCTCGAGATCGAGAGTGCATCTTGTCTTGCACCATGTGCTTGAGTCGCTGGTAGTAGATAGGTCCGTTGAAGACGTATGCCTCCAGTGGCTCTCCAGTAATACCCGATGTGAAGTAGTCCTTGCCCTCCCATGAGAAGCCATGGTCTACAAGCACCTGGCTCATCTCCTCCAACGGATGAGAACGGAAAGCATCTCCAAAGCCATAGTCAGGACGACCGTGGACGATAGAAGCCTTGCCCGTTAGACATTCAAGGAGCTTGCCGACTGTCATTCGTGAAGGGAAACCATGAGGGTTCATGATAATGTCGGGGCTCAGTCCATTGTCAGAGAAAGGCAAGTCCTCTTGCTCAACAATAATACCAACGACACCCTTCTGACCGTGACGAGACGAGAACTTGTCGCCCAATTCGGGGCGTCGAGTCTGTCTTGTCTGGACCTTGATTACTGTGGTATCCTTCTCTGTCTGAGAAATCATGACCTTGTCGATATATGCGGGATCTGCGATTCGGTACGAAACTGATGAGTCGCGGAACTCGGCAGGTCCACGGTCCAGTCCGATGCCAGTGCTTGTCTGATCAAGTGGTGTCTCCTTCTTAACCATGGCCTCGCCGCTGTTTACCTTATAACCAACAATTGCAAGACCATCGTCATCCAATGCCTCGTGCTTAGCGATCCGGCGTTTGATCTTGCCATCGCCCTCATTCTCGGGGTCTCCGATACGTTCTCTGCGTCCATTGGGGTACTTCTGCAGTTCCGTAGTGTACTTTCTGAAAACCTGACAACGACCGAATCCTCTGTCGATCGATGCTTTGTTCAGAACCAGAGCATCTTCAATATCGTATCCTGAGTATGACATAACGACCACGGTGGCGTTTTGTCCTGCAGGAAGTTTGTCGTAACCAATAAGCTGAATGGTCTTTGAAATAACCATGGGCCGTTGGGGGTATACAAGTGTGTACAGAAGAGTATCAATACGGTTGAACTGGTTGTATGCGATTGCACCAATGGCTTGTTTACCCATAGCACATTGGTAAGTGTTACGAGGAGATTGGTTGTGGTGGGGGAAGGGAATTAATCCTGCGACAGCTCCCAGCACAGTAAAGGGTTCGATTTCCAAGTGAGTGGTACTCTGTGTCACTTGGTCCTCGTAAATGGTGATAAGGGCATCATTCTCCTCATTGACATCCAGATACTCCACGATTCCGCGGTTCAGAAAGTCATCGAATGTCGCTTTGCCCATCTGAAGTAATCGCAGATGCTCAGGCTTGAGCTTCTGCTTACCATTCTTAACGATGATATAAGGTCGACAAATACGGCCTTCATCGGTAGCAATATGAACGGCGTTGAAGTGTGTGTTGATATTGATGCCAACAAAGGGAGAAATCCAGCCTCTCCTTCGCATAGTTCTAAACTTTTGCGCAAATCGTTTCGGGTATCGAGTTAATGCGAACGGAGTACCGTTGATATGAATAATGTAACTTCCTTCACGGTGCATCTCAGCGCCCGAGAAATTGCGAATAGGTTCAACACCAGCATCTAGTGTAAAGATCCACCGTTTGACAGGCTCTTCATCAACGTTGGTAGTGATATGGGTCATCAAAGCCAAGTTCTTGACCAGACCACAGGCTTCACCTTCAGGTGTATCTGACGTACAAAGCATACCCCACTGCGATGGTTGAAGTGCACGAGGGCCAGACACCTTTCGGGTCTTTTCGAACTGACTGCTTATTCGGGTCATCATACCAAGAGCGGCGATATAACTCAGTCGACTGAGAACGTGGGTGACTCCTGCTCGGTTCATATTAAAGCGTTTGACAGTCCAATTTCCTGTTTGAATGGCTCGGTTGATTCCATATCCAATGTTGTTGGCGTGGTTGCTAATCATATGAACCGCATCGAGAGGAACTGCCCGGTTGTTTTTCTTCAGGAATTTGTCGATCGACATCTTGACTCCAGATGTGAACTGCTTGAATAAATCTTCAAAAAGAAGCGAGAGAAGTTGGCCAGCCAGCTCAAGTCGTTTGTTTCCCACAAAATCTCTGTCGTCAACCAACTTGGGGTTGTGCGCGGCAATGAGAACCCTTCGGGTCATCTGAGCCACATAGATGGCCTTGGGGTAGAAATCCAGTCCCTCAATGGGCACATGGGCAATGACCAGGTTGGCCAACGCATCGAGGCCTTCTTCGACGTGGTTACGGCGCACTTGAGGTCCGAATGTGCCTCTGCGGGAACCCATCTTTACCTTTGCTCCGATGTACTCCAGCGCTTGGTGCTGAGTGAAAACGCCGGCCTTTGTTGCCTCGTCAA